GAAGCTGCCAACAAAGTACCGCGACTAGTAACTAATCAAAGTACATAAACAAGTATAAAAATAAATGAGGATTAACAGTGATATGTGCACGGTGATTTATAACAAATATCTTGCAACAAGCGGTTCAACATGTTGTCGATTTTAATTCATCCATTTGGAACAATAGCTAATCTTGTCAACAATTTCGGACACCCTAACTGTTTACTTCCATGGAAACTGTCTTTCGGACCCATTTCATATCATTTAGAATCCAGTCAAGGCCATTTTGTGTTCGGTTCTCGACTGCCTCTCCCATCCATTTCGGGTCACTGGGCTACTCTTTTAGACCACCGAATGACCATTTAGTTTCTCCGAATGCGTTTTTTTACATGCTGAAAAAAAGATTATCAAAACTCTGCATGATTTGATCAGCCCAGTTGTTCCAAGTCTCCTTGCCTTCCTACTCTCAACTTGTTTCAAGTGCTTCTTCCACTTAATGCCGTATACCAGTGAATTTCTAATTTTTTTTTATCACGGCGCCTTTTATAAGTGACTTTTGCTGCCGCGACCCCGTTTTTAAGTACTCTTTGCCGCCATTGCCCAGCGTGACTTAATTGAAAACTTAAAGCATTAGACTGCATCAAATTTTTATTTCAGTTTTTTCATGAAAAACTTTCAAATTCAGCGAAACGAGTTAATCTGTCAATATACACACACATCTATTAAGATATCTTTACTGCAGGTATTCTGACTGAATTTAAAATAATACCATTAACGCTCTTTTCGCTCAAATGGCGACCTTGTGATGTTTAACGTGCTGACTGCAAATTTGTTGCAGATTTTTACATTGAAATTTGACGAAAATTTAATGCAGTTCTTTTCACTTCGTCCCTTGCTTGTTTGCCTCGGCAGTCTCCAGTGACCACCTCACGGCCTCTTGAGGGGCCGCAGGTCCCGGTTTGAGAACCACTGCCATATACCAAGGTGGGACAGAAGTATTCGCTCCTACTCAATCTGTACTCAGAGAAAGCTGAAAGGACAATTAACTGGCAAGGAAAATACTCTGATATTTGATCAGCTGCATGGCTTAAGTAGTTAGTATAACTATTTCAATTGCTTTGATCAACGTGCATTGCTAGATGGTCAATTTGTTGGCACTCTTGCGCTCTTTTCGTCTTCTAAAAAGGTGTTACCAGTTCAGTGGTCTGGCCCGAACCACTCGGAAAGACTTTATCTGTATCAAGATGTTATTAAACAACTCCTGTCTGAACATTTTCTTCATAATTTGATGGCGAAAGTGCGAAGAGCAAAGGAAACTAGATCTAGAAGCAAAATTTTTTATGAAAAATAAAATCTAGATTCAATAAAAGGAAAACAACTTTGGACAAGCTTTGCTTTTTGGATTTGGGGCGCAAAATCTGCAGCGCTTGTCAGTACTTCACTGAATGTTGTGCTACGAGCTCTTGCGAAGATAAGCAAGCTTTAATTCCAAAAAGAATTTAATCGGATAACTGCGAGCTGCTGAAGTGCTAAAAACATCTCTATAGTAGCTCACACTGTGTAAAACTCACCGATAATTACATTACCGATAATGTTAATAACTTTAACCCAGGATGGAACGCACCAGGCTCGCCGGTGCGACCATGCGTTTTTGCACTAAACTTGCAGATCGCTGTTAGCAAGAATGATCCTTACACTGTAGTCGAACACTTGGGCTCATATTGGCCGTGCTTTGGCCCCTTCCGGCATGCAGGAAGAAGGGCGTCAGTTGGGATAAAGGTGGTGAATTATAGGGCCGCAGGGATATCCAAGTGCATGATTACCAGTATTTTGCATGAAGTCATGTCGTTTCTTCGGTAAATGCTTCATTTGTGAAAAAATGACAAATGCAAATTTTTTGAAAAAATGCAAATTTCCAGTTCACTAAAAAGTGA